GATCAAGACTAAGGGGGTCATACAATAAAAATAGAACTTAAATTAATTATAAATAATATAAGGTACGTATATTATAATAATATGTTTAATATGTTATGCCATCAATGGTCGTGATAAATGAGGATTATAAATGCTAGCCATTTTGTATGAGGCCTCCATATTTCTTTCTTCCATATCCAAGTACGTGCTTCGGACTACAATTAAGCTGACGAAATGTATAACTGAAATACAAAATATTAAATTTTAGTACCTAATGGTGCAAATGTATGTTTTATCTAGGTATATTTTTATTCGAGTTACTTAAATAATTTAGAAAGATCATAGAAAATCATAATAAAATAAAATAAAATGACAAAAGTAAAAAAACTAATTAGGCGTGGGGCACCCTTAACATTGAGGGGTATGAAAAATAGATATTGGCCGATACTCAGACAAATCTCACACAAATTTTCATAAAAATCGGTAAAACGGTCAAGAGTGCTAGTTAGATAATGCGGAAGTGTGTCTGTCTGTTACTTTTTTTTACCAAATGCCACAGATGATTTTAATGACATTCGACATGAAGATTATTGAAGATATAATTTGTATTACGAGGACCAAAACGAAAAGAGTTAAAATTAAAAGTTGGTATTACAAACAAATTAAATACTTACAACACCATTTGAATAAAGGTAACGTGCCAAGAATGCCAACAAACATACAGGATAATATTACCAATACCAAACCAATAAATAGCCAAAGCATTCCAGATCTGAAGTAATGTCTCAAATAATGTGGCTTTGTCTGTAAAAAAACATATTTTTATTAATTTCAAATGCACTGATTCCCTGCTTACCAGTTTATATTTACTTATAAATATTTGTTTACATTTTGTCTTTCAACCTGCTTATTTTTTTTAATAAGTAGCGCCTTAGTTCTTATTTACTTGAACGCCTCGCCATATCTTTTTCCTCATTCATTATCAATAATAAATACGCCTACTTATCTGCGGCAAAATATATAAATTGGTGCCTGGACGAGTCACACATGTTTTTAATGTAAATGGTATGCCAAACAAGCTAACGGCCCATTTCATGGTAACTGGCAACCTATAAATGAGTGCTTAATGAATAGTACTACGGACATAATGTTATCAGATGACGACCGCGATACCATTCATGCGTTACTATTCTGGATTAAGACGTCATTCCTCTTATCCCGTAATTTGACTACTTTATGTCAACCTGCAATGGTAACACATTTTATAACGCAAGCTGCTTGGGGCTGTAATAAACGAGACTGAGGAGGTGAGGTAGCTGCAGACGCAGACGACTCCAAAACTTTAAACCAACGGTTCACTGTCACTTCTCAATCACATATTTATTTTTCATAAATAAATGTCTGCCTCCGTTGACAACATTAGTAAGTAATAACACTAAACATTGGAGTAAACACTGTTGATTGCATAGAAAGTCATCGAAATTCCTCCCGTTTTGGTGAATATATCGGTATTATGTAGGTAGGTATAATATATAATACATAAAAATACACTTGAATTTAGAACCTCTTCCTGTAGTCGATTCAAAATAATACTTATTATAATTCAAAATAACTTAAAGTTGACTTACCGAATGTACTCCAATAACCAATATTGAGCTAATAATAAGCAGATATAAAAATACTATGAGATAATAGGCATGTACTATGTAAAGTCCTAAAGCGGACTTCTTCACTGCACCCGGGGGCTGATTGGGATGTACTCCATTATCATTAACCACGTATACAATTACTTTGTACAGAGAGATCGAGGTTCCAGTCAGGCCTAGGAGAGCAATTAACTGAAATTACACAAAAATATGATTATTTTATAATGGTCGGTTGAGTGAGTAAGGCGTGAGTTCAAATATGGGCTAAACGTTTATATTTCTGAATGACTCTTCGGTGAAGGAATCGAATGAATCCAAAACTGAATCCGTGAAATATAAAAATAGATGAATCCACTCCAATATACCCACCGATATGAAGCGTGTCAAGTGTTGCGTTCACCATTACGTCTACAGTTGATTTTTCTGTGACTACCCCATCTGATATAATAGTCATATACTGACTGACTGATATAATAGTCATATATTATGTTTATTTATTTTATTATATCTGTGAATTCGATGATTACAAATCACAGTACTTGTTTATGTTTGCAAGAAATGGTTGTTGGTTATGTACTATATGAATGTGGAATGGTGCACCACAAAAGATGATAAGATAATAATTAAATCAAAACAGTTAGTCAGGAATGAACCAAGTTAGTATGCACGGAGATGGACCTGATAGGGCAATACTAGCAATGAGGTTACTAGTCTTGGTTTTGTTCTGATAGGAAACCATTTTGTAAAACGTATTTCAAACGGACATAATATATTTGTACTTTCAGAAGAGTCTATATAAATACCATAGGATAATGAATGTAATTCTATGACGAACTTAAATCTTTCTCTACGTCAATAAACGATGCTGTTCAATACGTATTAATTTATCACGAAAATTCTATTTTACGCCCATCACAGGGGTTATTCATTGACTACATAAGTATACATCACAATACATCGATATATCTAGGTAGTTAATTATTATTTAGAATAGTTGTAATATTAAGGAAATGAGTCACTTATTCACATAAATATGACACACCTCCCAATTTTGTATATAATGTAAGAAAACCTTGAAGGCTGGTATGTTAACTTATCTAGGTCTTCTTGTAAATATGAGTACAAGAAGAACTAGATAAGTTAACATACATATAAATAAACTATGTGATTATCTCTGTTAAAATTTTGAGGTAAATACAGTAGAAAAATATAACCTATTAATAGAATTATTAAATCTTCCTTAGCTTGAATTATGTTTAATGAAGAATTGCCCTAAAAATAATTCGTAGGATGTAGTCATAACAAAGTTTTTATGACTACGAAGCAGTCTTTACAATAAGTAGGTATCTACAGATAAAATGATATTTTATAAAATTATTGCTATAGTATAACTTAAAAATAGTTTTGTACTTACAATAGAGAAATAACCAATAATTAAACATCCTGTTCGTAATGATAAACAACAGCAGCATCTTGTGAACCTGGGGAGTTCGAACGCCATTTTCGTATAAGAGATATTGCTCACTTAAGTAACAATAAAAAAATACTTAGATTTTATAATTTAACTATATTCTCTGGGTAGTAAATTCTAATTTATTAAATGAATCAAATTGTACTGGAAACACCTATCAATACTCCGATACTAATAATTATTGGGCATGAAACGATTTTGGTTACTATCAATAAGATTAGGTCTCTACCTTTTATCAGATAAATGTACCTGTAGATAAAGGGAGGCCAATTACAGTACAGTACAGTCGGATTCATAGCGATATCTGTTATGCGACATAGTGGTCAATAATATGTTAGTAGCACTGTTTAAATTTTATCTTAACTAACCTTTGATGATATCAAAATATTCTGAACTGTTTATTTACTCTTATTATATTTTTTTCACGCGGGATGCGCCACCTGTTACAGGTATCAGGTGGTGCTTCCCGCGTGAATAAAAAACTGTTTCTCGCTGATTAGGCATTATAGGAGAAAGTACATATATTTTAAATTGGTCAAGTACTTTTTATTTAATTCGTTAATGTAATCTTACTTCCTTCTAAAATGAATATAGGTATTGACAGATACAGATAATCAATCACAATAGTTACTTCTTTACATAAAAGACAGCGTTGAAAATTTTTAATTTATTTTTATAACTGTTCAGATTTAAGTATAGACCAGGTACACATTATTCAATTTTCTTTTTATCATTTGTAGTCTACTATTCCTAAAGCTACGATTTATGTGGTTGACTGTACAGTTTTTGTGTGGTCTATTTTGAAATAATATATTGGTAAATGTATTTTACCTAATATACTGTATTATTGGATTTGTACCAATACTTGTAATTGTAATTTTATTACTTATTCTTGACTTCTCCTTGACCTACACAGTAGATATTATTTATCAAATTGACCTTTACTTGTGTATTACAGGATAAATCCCAGCCATTTGCAGTATATCTGCTACCTCGGTTTATAACTTAATTCGCGGAAATTTTATATTTCTTAATATATTTTCCATTATTGTCTTTATTATTAGGTATTTGGGGTTCTACGTAATATTACAAAATTTATATCAAAGTATGTTTAAGTAAAAATATAAAAAAACGCATATTATGATTTTGTTTGCTCTATAAAGACATGTATGTGCTATAATATTTTTATATATATGTTTAACACAATATTTTATAAATTGGTAGCTACTAAATTATTCCATAGTTTGGCACTACCTAATCCGACTTTTCAATATATACGTAATATACCTACATAGAACCAAGTCAATACATACAAATATATATGTGTAATCCCAAATAATATAAAATAATCATGGACAATTCACTCAGAGCCATCTAATCCAAAGCTAAGCAGTGTTTATGCTATTTCCTTTTTTCTGTAAATACATATATAGTGTACTTACAAAACACTCTATCAATACAAATAAAACACCAAAACATAACATACTACTCATGAATCAAACGTTTGAGCACTGCGAGGGTTGGAACCCGCGACTAAACGCAACGTTATGTACCTATCATTTAGCGTTAAGTATTTCATTTTAGTTTACCAGAACACAACAATATACGTTATTAAAAGGTATAATCGAAACATATATACTGTTCAACCTAAATAAATTAATGTTTCTCAAAAACGTCGATAAATGGTGCTGGCTAAAAGTACATCGTGCTATAGGTATTTATGTATATTTTTTTGCATGAACGGTGTTATTTTTTTTATTATATAATGTACCCTAAAACAAATCCTTCTGTTTTTGAAGTGATTATATTCATGATTATTTGATCATTTGTTATTTATGCTAACTCCCTACGCTGTGAGCGGTCGCATATTGATAAATTAGTCATGTTGTGTGCATATATTGAAACTGATATAAATATTTTACCCAGCTCAACTTGAATCTTGATATTCAAAAGTTAAATACACGCCGACTAGTGTGGATCACTGTCAGTGAAATGGAGTAGCGAGTTTGATACATTGTGCTTTTTTTTAAATATAATGTCTAGTTTGTTTTTTTAATTCAATTATAGCATTAAGGATAACATTTTTTTTGTTTTTATAATAATTTAAAGATGTATTGTGATTGGCCAGTATTAAAAAGATGCTGTTTCTGTTTACCTCTCAGGAAAGGGGTTCTTTTTCTTGGGTATTTTATTGTTGTAAGTTATTTAACTTTAATTTATTTATTTTACGCTTTCTATGCTTTAAGTTTATTTAAAAACATAGTTACCTATTATTTCTGTGTTAATAATATTTTTTTATTAAAACGAACGAAATCAGACAGTACTGTTTCTACAGTTCAACAACATTGCATACATGCTTAACATAAAGAATAGTATATTTGGGTATTGAAAACCGCATCATCATTCATACGTGTACAATTAACTGGCTGCGGTCAGCGGCTTTACACGAGTAGTACCTACCTATTTTAAGTACTTTAAGTACTAAATCTTTCTTAACGAGTTATTAGATTCTTTGAATTTCAAATTCCACTATCTAGATTTTCTTTGATGTTTGTCAATAGCCAGTTGCGATAAACCATTTCATAAACCTTGTATTGACCCGGTATCTACTACTGCCGAATATTTAAATTAATTTACACATAAACTTAATGAATTATGCCCCTAAACCTTTCACAGTATCCACTGCGTTGATGGATGAAAACTTTATGAAAATCCGCTCAGTAATTTTTGAGATTATTGCAAACATACAGATAGACGCGGCGGTGTACTGCATTTTATAATATGTAGGTATATTTTGCATGCTTTCATTTAAGCAATACTATATTTATATTTTATTTTATTTTCAGTTTTCAAACGTGTTGGCAATACTTTTCAATATTTTAGATATATCTTTGGAACAGGAAATCTATGATTTCAGCGGTCTTGATATGGAAACAGAATTTATAATATCCATAGTGCTGAATTGTATAGAGATATTAGTTACTCTTGTACTAATTGTCGGAGCCCACAAGGTATGTAGATAATATATAGAGAATGTTTAGTAGAATAGAATAGAAAATAATTTATTCAAATAAACTTAATTTAAGCACTTTTGAATAGTCATAATATTTTTTTAATCTACCGCTCATTCGGAAAGTGGCTGATATATATTATTATTACTTTTTTAATATTTCTTGTAATAAAAATTTTCCTTATCAATATCTCTAATATTACCTTAAACAAGCTTGAAAGACTCTATGCTTTCCATGGAATACATAAACATATACATAATTTCTACTAGTAAAGTATATAAACCACTTTACAAAGTCCAACCATCGTCTATATATAATATTTTATCAGCACCACAGATATCATTTGTTCTGACACATGATGTCTGTAGTGCTGTTGAAGTTGGCACTCATGTATTGTTATTTCTGAGGACTAAGTGATTTTAAAACGGTTTTTTCTCTCGAGAGAAGTATTATGAATAGAGGAATGCAAGTACATAAACTATTTTTTACGTACTTGCATTTCTTTACTTTAAATCCTATCAACGCATTCATACAGAGCATCCATGCACTTGTATATCGTGAATCTATCATTATAATCAATTTTACCACTTTAAAAATATAGCATCAATATCCATACAAGTGCCCAAATTATATGCAAGATATAAGCAAGCACTTATTTGATGTTCTGGCTCTGTTCTGGTTCTGGCTGGCTCTATCTCTACCAGATATACATTGGGTAAATAAATAGAAAGCGTTTAATAGGCAGTAATTGGAAAACAAGCCTATGGTGTTTAATTATATATTAATACTTATCTTTAATTATTTACATTTTTTTTTCAGAATAAAATAAAATTAATCAAAATTTACTTCTATTTTATATTGGGAATGGCCGTCCTGATGTGTGTGCAGCAAATCGTTCAGATGTCATTAATGAGACATTTTATAATTATTATACATTCAGTTTTTCTCTTCATATGTTATATGAGTAAGTTTTTTTTTAATAATAATGAAATTCCACCGTTGTTCACCGTTTACTCTATTGATTAAGATGTAGTCAGACCATTTTACACTTCACACGAGGAATTAAGCACGACGATTTCTATTGAATCCACATGGAGAGCCATCTCAGGTAGTACTATGCTAGCAATAATAATAACCCAGGACAATTCACGCATCGCCATCAGGTCAGAGTTTGTTTTATGGGTAGTAGATAACTGATAGAATACTTAAATACATTTTATTGTAAATATACACGTAGTATACTCATAACAATACAAATGTTTGTAGCGTGTGAGGAGTTGCACCTACAACTATCGGCTATAATGCAATGTGCTACACCACTAGACCACCTAGGTTGTCAAACATCTGGTCACTTGTCTTTATTACTAAGAACGCATCTTTTTCCGCTATACCATTTTTAAAACTCACTTTTATTATCTATCTTCTTATAAGTAGTTTCCTATCTATTGAGTAGTACTTATTAGAAGAGTGTGTTTGCGTAGTGGCTTACTATTTCGACCTGGACTAAAAAGACTTTACTGCGAAGCAGCACAAAAATACCTTTGTCTGTCAATTTATATTTCTAACTGTAATGGAAACACCGACAACACAAATAAAAGAATCGACAATTGACAGTCCCTTGATTACCACATCTAAAGGTCGTAAAGATTATTTTTTATATAGTTAAATTTAATTTCACTTATTATTTGTTCCAGTGCTTCATACGTATTTAATATTTTTAATAAGGAGCTTATTAAAGAAAATGGAAATATCTGATCAGAATATGTATGACAATCAATTACACCAAATCGTATCCGGAGAAATACAGAAGGATAACCCACCCTATTCCACTACTGTAGTCCCTATTGATAATTAATGAATACTGATTGGCCACCCCCGCATTGCAGGAGCTAATGAAGAAAATGAGAGCAAATCTTCTAATTATATATAGATAATTCTTTCAATATTTTGTATAAATTGTTTAGGCGATTTTGTACCGAAATTTTCCACTTTTTGGTTGGACTAGCGACACAAATAGTGTAAATTCCTATATATTATAATAATATGTATATTTATATATTAGTTTTAATCTAAATTTAATTACGTAAATGTATGTAATGTAAATGTAAGTAATTTTAATAGGTTTAAAAATAAATAACACGTGTTTTGTTATAGTGTGCATAGTGCATTGTTTTCTATAGAAATACCATACTACGAACTCTGTTTTGTAGTAATCTTTATAATTATTATTCAAAACAGTAATCTTTTGAGATACGAGTAGAACAACAAAAGCGACGACAAGAGCAGCGCACAAACGAATATATTACACTCCTGTCCTGTGTGGTAGACGTTGTAGTAAAAGCAAACTTTTCTGAGAGATACGACTTGCGTTCATAATCATGAATTACAGCACAATTTGTTGACCGCCCTTGGTCAACAAATTATGACATTATGTGACATGATGTCAGAAGGAAAATTTTTGAGTCGCTACACTTCTCTATTTCTATCATCATCATCATCGTCATTTCAGCCCGGAAGACGACCACTGTTAAACAAAGGCCCCCAAAGGTCTCTATATCTATAAAATCTAAATATTAAAAAACAGTCGAGGGAGTAGTCGATAAACATGCATATGTATACATATCTATCTATCTTTTATATATGTCTACTTAAATAGCCTCATAGGACTATCCTACTATTTTAGATGATAAAAATATTATTCATAAAAGTACAATACCAAATGCTAAAGATGGTATTGATGTTGTAATAAATTAATTTTTTTTTTTTTTTATTTATTTATAAGTATTACATATACACAATTTGTTTTTACAATTATCGCCAAACTGCTTTGCAGTTTGTTGGCGAATAAGGACACTCATTTTTACTTATATCTAATTTACAATTTAACTATAATATAGAACTTATACTAATGCACTTTTTCGAGTAACCATCTTTTCAATTTAAATTTAAATATTTCTTTACTTGAACAATCGTTTTCATTATAAATTTTATTAAATATTCGTGGAGTAATGTACCTTCTTGTTCTCTCACCATAATAGTTGCATACCACCGGTTCAATATACTTATTTATAGTTGTATGTCTCATACTATACTCAGTTGTTTTTTTAACCTTATACTTATTGCATTGATATTGTTCTAATGCCAATAGTAAAGTAACTTTTTCATGTATAGGGAGAATATTACATTTTGTGAATAACAAATTGTAGTTTCCTTTACATTTCTTTTTAAATTCCGTATCTACTAAGTGTTTCAAAAAACGTATTTGTATGTTATATAATTTATCAAGATAGGTACGAAAGGTACAACCATACGCCGCCAGACCATAACTTAATACCGCGTCTGCCAATGCCCAATAAAAGGAAAACAATATCGACCTACTAACTACATATTTAAGCTGGATGAACTTACACAAAACATATCTTAATTTATTACATATATTGTTTATATGTATTTTCCAGTTAAAACTACAGTCTATTGTGATCCCTAAATATTTATATTCATTCACCATCTCGATATGTTCACAATTACATTGTATTTTACTATTGTGAAGACATTGATACGAGTGGCCGACTATTCTAATTGACTTGTTAATATCTTTCATATATGGAGAATGTACAAGCATACATTTAGTTTTAGATACATTCAATAATATACCATTGTCATGGGACCACATCAAAATGTTTTCCAGGTCGGACTGTATACATTTTTCAATACTTTCGATATCTCTATCTGCATATATCAAACATGTATCGTCTGCGTACATATATGTCGTACAATAATTTATTACGTTAATCATACTATTTACGTGCATGGTATAACCAACAGGCCCGTATACCGAACCAGTAGGCACACCACTTTTCATATAAAATTCCTGACCGGCTGTAGCATTAATTACAGTGAACAGTTTTCTGTTATCTAAATAATTTCGGAACCATTCGTTTACTGGACCACGGATTCCACATTCTCTCATTGCCTCCAGTAGCTGTCCGTGGTCCAGGGTATCAAATGCCTTTTTGAAATCTACAAAGAGGACTCCTACATATTTCCTATTATCTAGGTGACTATTTATTTGATCACTAAATTTGCCAATAGCTGTAGCTGTACTATATGATTTTCTAAACCCATGCTGTGTATCTGTTAATATATTATTACCTTCTAAAAAATCACTAATCCTTGTCACAAATATTTTTTCTACTATTTTATTTATAGTCGACAAAATTGCAATAGGTCTATAATTACTATATTCTGCATGACTTCCTTGCTTAAATAATGGACGTATAATGGATTTTTTCAGTAAATCTGGGTACGTGCCTGTCTGTAAACTTACATTTATAAATTTGGCCAGAACTGGACTAATTAATTTTTTAATATACTTTAAATCTATTACTCTAATTCCATCTGCTCCTGGAGACTTTCTAGAATTTAATTTACTTATAATTTTTTCAATATCGACTGATGTAACTTTCTGAAAGTAAAAGCTCACATTTGCATGTTGTACATAGCTTTCACGTAATAAAAACTTTTGATTACATTTATGTTTAATATTATCTATTTCTTTAGTAAATGTTTTTCCAAAATTTGTACAAATATTTTCAACAGTAACCCCCTTACACATATATTTCATTATCATCGAATCTAAATTAGATTTCTTGTTACCCAGCCAGCTGTTAATGGTTGCCCATGTTTTTCTTAAATCACCTTCACAATTTTCTAATTCCCTTTTCCGATACATGTTCTTAGCCCTATTTATAAGTTTATTAGTTAAATTTCTACAACGAGTATATTCCAATCTATAATTAATGTTTTTAATATTAGACTTTGACCTTCTAAATAACTCGTCCCTACGTTTGACCATAATAAATAATTTATTGTCTATCCAGGGCTGTGACCTTCTTGTATTCTTATTAATTTTTAACACTTTTGAACCCTCATATACATTATTGAAAAGAATATATAACTGCTCATAAATTTGTAACGGACAATTCAGTTCTACTAACTTATCCCATTGAATATTTAATAATTTTTGCTTGACTAATTCATTATTGATTACATATACCTGTTTATTATTGCACGGTTCACTACAACCAATGCCAGTCTCTAAGTTCACACCGATCATATAATGATCTGATATTTTACACGTGAGCATGTGTGCGGCGATGCGATGTCTGCTGCGCACCCATACATGGTCAATACAAGACGACACAAGCCGGCCCCCACTATTTCTTCCCGCGTGCACTCGTTGATAGCACTTTGTAGGCCGCTGTCACACAACATGTTTTTATATTTCTCTCCAATCAAGCTATTTTCCATTAAGTTTATATTCATATCTCCAACTATGATGATATCTTGGTTTTCAGGTATTTGCTTTATGAGAATATTTAATTCATTAATAAAAACCAATCTATTGGATTTTGGTGGCCTATATACAGCAATAATATTTATATTCATGGCATTTATATTTATAGTACTATGCAAAATCTCTGCCGAATTACTTTTTATTCTATTAATATTAATATGTAAATAATCTTTGTAGTAGATCAATACTCCTCCTCCACGTTGTATGTCTCTCGTATAAGCATGAGTATTATATCCATCTATTTCATATAATGATAGTTCACATTGTTTGATATTTATCTCTGTCAATAAAATAATATCTACAGTATATTCACATTGTTCCAACATTAGAAGTAGTTCGTTATAATTCTTTCGCAACGATCTTATATTCAAGTGAACTATTTTGAAATGTTTAGTTGTATTTTTTAGTGATGAAGCCCATTTATCTATTTTTTCATATCTCTGGTAGTCTATATTATTATCAATATTTATAAGCAAATCGTTGAATGTTATAGAAAAAGAAAACACGTAGTATGATCATACACAGTCTATTATGGCTGTTATTCAGAACGTAAAAAGGTGTTTATGTCGGCATCTGACCGTACATTGTAAATTTTAGAATTTTCATTTCTTTTAATTAATATTTTTGAATGTTGTATCCAGACAAACTTGTATGTGCCTTTAAGTAATGTTTTTGCATTCCAGAATAATTGACGTGTCTTTTTAGTTAAGTTGTCGTTTATGTAAATACGTTTTTCAAATACGTTTATTAATTCAATATATTTGTATTAATAAACTTTTTTTACATAAAATATAGCAGTTTTTATCTATTTACCTACCTATTACATTGTTAGCAATGGGATCATTATTCCCTTCCCCCAGACTATTTACATAACATAATTATTAAACATATTTCAAAACAAAACCATCTTTACAATAATATGCGAAGTCAGGTTAATCAGTATCTAATAAAATTTATGAAAATGTTACAAGGAAAATGTCTACAAAGTGTGACATTTTATGACAAGTGGTTGGAGAAGCTACAAACCTGTAAATAAAATGGTGAAATCTAGATGGGGCTCCACCCATGATAGAAATATCATAGATTATGAAGTCACAGTCAATTCAATTTTTATATAAAAACACAAATTTATAACGATTAAATTGTGACCAATTGTCACTGGGGGGAGCAGGACAGCAAAATTACTGTAATTAGTGTGTGGTCAATTATGGCTGGCCAATTTAAGATCACGAGGCTACCTGTACAGTATGTACAGATTGTACAGTCTACTACGCGACTTCTACAATATTTTACGTGTTAACTAGTGGTATCTATGGTTGTATATCATATGTATATTCAATATTTTTTATTTTATTAATTACATATGAGTATTAAATTGAGATCGTCCTGGACTAGCGGCTTTATTGCAACCCAGAGGTCGTGAATTCAAATACGGCGGATACCAAAAATAAAAACTTTGTGTCAATTTATACTTCTCACTGACTTGCCTCTGAAGGTAATCCCAATATCAATCCACCAAAAACTTATTCGAGAGACGGTACCCTACCATGTTGAATTCAAAATACAAGTGAAGAATAAGAGTACTATCGAAATGAAGGTTTGTCAATTATTGCGTTCACCATAACATCAACAGTTGACAATATTCTGACTAAACCATCTAGGATACCAGTCGTGTTTATAGTTTCGTTATAGCCATACTAGCTGTTGTCCCGCGTAACCGTTTCTATTTTTTGTGATTAAAGATATACAGGTAACGACATATAATCTTACGTTGGAGAGGCTCGGCAAATATCACGCAATTTTTTTCCTGATTGAAACAAAAAAAAAAATTATACTATTTTGGTCTAATTAATCCAGATTGTACATATGCTTATTACACTTATAACTCTCAGCAATATTGATTACTAGTCTTAACGAGTCTTAAATAAAAACACGAAGTAATTTATGGACGCCCCCATAATAGTTGTAACATTTAGAACATTTCTACGAAATGACTACGATTACCAGAATAATGTACTGGCAATTACAGATATAGTTTAGCGAGAAGTTATGGACAGTCAATTTTATCCCCACAACTAATATTAATATCCTCCTACAATACACAACGTGCCATCTAGTTCCAAGCAAGGCGAAGCTTGTGGTATTAGTACTAGACAACTGATATACTTAGATATTTATTTTTTGTAAATTCATACATAATACCTATTTTTTTATGTTTAATAATGTCATATTGTACCCGCCTGCACTAACGGTTTTGTTTTACGGATGATAATGGCATGGTGCACCCGCCTGCCCTAAAGGTTTACGCTGGCGGGGCACCAGTGGACTATGATAAGATGAACATGAGGTCAGGTCAGTTAGCCCATCGTGACAAATTCACCAAGAATTTATCACGATGGTTTTCAGGGGAAACCGCGTGGAGGTCAACCTGATAAGGCACATTGCTAGCAATAAAATCATCAGTCTACATTATCGACAATCTCCTTTCCCCCAATGCCTATATTAACACGCTGTACAATAGTGGTGGCACTAAAAACAGTTCTACGAAATGACGCAAACATAGGACTAACATGATTACGAGAATACTGGCACTGTACTGTACTGGCAATTAAGATATACTTTAGCGAGAATTTATGGACAGTCATGTTTACTCCCACAACTACTAATAAGAATAATATCCTCTGACAATATACACCGCGCCATCTAGCTAAGCGGATCTTGTGTTATGGGTACTAGACAACTGATATGTAGACTTGGATACTTATTTTTTGTAAATATATACATAATACACATTATTAACACTCCGACCAATACAAACAATCATACTTTTAAATACATGTTTGTATCGTGCCAAGAATCGAACCAAGTAAAGCGGCGTAAGTATAAATGTATAGAATAGGCGTAGATTACCATTTTACACCACACCGTTATTAATTTCTTTGACATCACAAGATTTTGTGGAATTTATAAGGAAAAGGATCGTTCTTGAACCATAATATGCAGTAGGCACCTACTCATCATGTACATATTCTGAGGTCAATAAATGTTGTATCTTTCTTTTGCTAAAACCTGTTTGCTTTTGTATAGGTCATTCCTCTCGTTTACTTTCAATAATATTTTTAATTTTGACCATATGTAAGTACATATTTTATCTAACATTCCACATAATATTTATTAGGTTTTTTGACGTTCACTTTTTAAATGACTAGTAGGTATATCGGGCATACGTTTGAATTAGGTAATGGTGAATCCATGGTGTATTGAATAAACCATTCATTTTAACCGTGATTTCTATAAGGAAGCACGAGATTGGTTGATGCATTGGCATATTATTATTTTATATAATAATTTATTGAGTAGTAAATAAAAATATATAAATATTATATATATTTGACACTTTTGTTACTATTCAGTAGATGATTATTATAATGATAACCAAAAAGACTTCAGCTAGCTTATGCACTATGCTTGCTGACATAACAAATTTTATATTTACTATATAATATTAATATGATCAATTATGTTATCCTATACAATATATGTTATTTGAGATGTACAAATAAATAAATAAAGTTTCTGTTTAACTATCTCAATGTTCCATTAAAATGTAGAGTTGTTATATTAAATTAAAATGTTTAAGATATATAAAATTGTTGAAATATTCGTAATATCTAACCTAAAGGTTCACATTTAATTCTGGCAGAAGTGCTACACTACTGCCGCCGAGCGGACGAATACTTGTATTACAATTCTCGTAATCGTAGCGCTTATCATGGTTGTTTGAGCATTCTCTGAATCGCCAACAAAAGCAAAGGTCACACTCTTCGCAGCTTTATTTATCTCAGCGGGAAACGGACATAATGCATAAATATAATACAAACATGATTGTACTTATCTGTGTTTAACATGTATAAAGAACAGATATTCTAATAAAACGTATACTGTTATTGCTATTACGAACGTGTATAGTCTTATTTGTTAGTGCTAAAAACGTGTTTTTGTGTTTTTTTAACGTTAAAAAAGTGTGACAAATCTATGAATATGTATACTGATGTGCCCAAACTCACCAGATGCTGTTTCTGCTTGCCTTTAAGACATGGTCTCCTATTTTGGGGATATCTCAAGCTGGTGGGTACAGTATTCATTTTGTAAATATAAATTTTATATTGTATAAAAAATCTCACATTTATGACTGAAGTGCCTCATGCAAAACTCTTTTAAGTTTTTGAAGTTTATTGTATCAATTGGATTTAACAATGTTTTACAATTAAATTTAATATTTCATAGTAATATACTAATATATTACTATGAAATACATAAAAAACATAAATGCCAATTTTCGGTAAAAAGTAACTTTACAGTTTATCATTTAATAAATATCGAAACCTCAAAATTTTTAATTGTGTCTGTGCAATTCTAAATAAAACATTAGAAGAGTACACCTATTTTCAATGACATACAGAATTTTTATAAAATATTATTATCTGTATTCAAAGACACGAAGTGTAATATATAAATGAATAATTGTTAATATATGACCTATTCAGTGATATATATTATCTTTTTATTCATTTATACATATAACCAACTAGTCTCAAAATAAATGCACATAAGTACACACTCTAAACAAATATTATTATGTACATACATTTTTATTGTGATTCGGTGATAGCGCGATTATGCGATGATTATATGATTCGGTGAAGATATACAAGATATACAAGATATACGTGTACATATGTAGGAATTAGCTCTAACAATTTACATGTACTCGTGAATTGCATATATACGCTATCGGAATTATTGGATGAAGATAAACTCAGGTCTTCGAGCCAATGGAGATTCTGTTGCAACAACCCCTTTAGTTATTAATTGATCAGACTTTATCTTCAACAAATTGTCCTCCACTGGTGCTCCGCCAGCTTATAGATATAGACAACACAATCGGGTGCATTATGACGCATTCAAGCAAAACAACTTTATCTACGTAGGCGTATTTCCTGGAAAAAAACCGCTACACATTATAATAAAGCCCGCATTTATAAATATGAAAATGAAACCCAAAACGAAGAAAAACTGAGAGTACAGTTTTTTTGGTTGAGTATAGAATGGTGCTGAACGCTTATTCTAGCGAGCTCCAATGAAGGATAATAAGATGAGCATGAGGTCAGATTTGTTAGCCTATTGTGACGTTAGCCTATTGTGACAAATTTTCCAGGAAAATACAATGAAGATTTTCAGAGAGACGGGTTGAAGATCAGACTACCCATTTATAGAATTTAAAGTACTTTTTTTTAATCATCATTCAATGTTTTTGTGCCAAAGTATACCGTTAACCGTTGGAAGGACAGTGGCGAGTCCTGGCATTCCTCCTTATAAAAAAACAGACCATGTATTACATTTATAAATTCTCCTTTGCAGCTACCACTATTGGGTATGTTCTTGTTACTGATATTGGAGCTCACACGTTTTATAGGATATCAAGATTCAGGTGCGACACATTCAAGCTTACCACCGCCCATACCTATACTAATGACACTTACAATTGTAGATATTATATTTAGTGTCATCCTTTTAGTGGGTGGTCATACCGTAAGTATTTTATTTCGTTTACTTAGCTTGTAAATTTCTATGATAATCGGTGTTTTTTTTGTTTATCTAATTAAAATGGCAAACAAGCTGGCAGCCCACCTGATGGTCCGCAGTAACCGTCGCATAAACGACTACTTACCAGCGAAATACATGGCGCTTCAAAATTGGAAAGTCGACCCCGCGTAACGGGAAGATACCAGGATGTAGAAGGCTATTAGTGCATTATTTAAATTATAAATAATATGAATAAAAATTATGTGATAATAACAATAATAATTGTAAAAAAATATACTAATCATTTTTAATTCTTAAATATTAAATAAGAATATATGTAATTGTTATAATAATATATATATAAAAGTATTAAGTTTAGTAATAAAAATTTGCATGCCTACTGAAAAAGGTCATATTACAGCTTTTTTGCTTGAAGTATAATAATGATTGAAAGGTCACTTTATTATGTACCTAATACCCGTGATACAACTTATGCATTGCCATTCCGGAGAAATAAGATTTCATGCACCTTATCCAGTAATTTCACTGTCTAATCGCATCATACTACCAAAACACAATTTAAAAAGAAACCTGCCTGGCTACTGAAGTAGGTGAGACTGAGAACCTTTCTTCTTTACCGAAAATGTGTGGCCTAGCATTAACGTAGTAACGTATATTTTAGCTCTTATAATTGTTATAAAATATATATTATAATTTTTATTTTTTTATTTATATTATATTTTTCTGTTTCAGAAAAATTGGAACTTGTTCAAAATTTATTATTACTACTCAATGACGATGGTAGGACTGTTTGTGTTATGTTATTCAGTCTTCATAATTGGATTTATTGTGATGTCGTACTCCAATCCATTTTTATTCTACCTTTTGATTTACGTGATCCAGATTGTGCTATTTGGAGCAGCAGTACTTCGTAAGTATAGAAACATACTTATAAACTATCTATCTTAACACAAGATCCCTTATAATACACAATTTTTAAAAAATTCACATTCATACACTTCTCAAGACTGCAACCCGGTTCGAGAGCATCATAACTCTGCGTCAGACAAGCATTTTGGTATAGATTTTGTTTATCAGATCACTTGGAATGCACATTTCATCAAGACAACAATTAAAAAAAGATACGTACCTACTCCGAAATATATAGTAATTGTATTCCTTCCTCGACATGTTATCCTGTGACACCCATGATACTGAGCATTGTCATTACGAAGGACTAAGGCAGGCTTATTCTTTAAAAATAAAAAGTAAAAAAAAATATATAACCTTCAACCGAATACATCTTACTACGCAGCCGATTTTTTACTAAGTCTGCGTTGGTCGAACATTTTGTGTCTGTGTGTATGTACACACAGACACAAACTGTTCGGCAAACTAAATAAAAACACAATTATTTGCATAGTGTATTTTTGTATTTGCTATTGACTTTATGCGTTTTATAGGATTGCATTGAACTTAACATTAATGTAATTAATGTACAGACATAAATCTGATATCATATGAAACATTCCAATTGGCATATGTAACAATATCTCCTATCGGCAAAAATATGGCCATGCCAGTAACAAAAATATAAATCATATTTAATTTTCTAGAAAATGACTAACTCTGTTATTCACACATATGTATGTATGTTAGAGACAAATAACGGAGAGGTAAGTAAATTACTCTCTACTCTTCTCTGTTCTTTGTATATCTACTAATGGAATAAATAAAATAACCCTTGACAATTCACACAGCACCATCTAATCCCAAACTAAGCAGAGCTGTTATTTGTGCTGATATAATATAATAATAGAAAAAGCAAATAACGTCATTTAACGATAAAAGTTTTAATCATTATAGCAGTAGAGTTACATTCCTAGAAGCTAATATACATACATTTTATTTCACAATAAAGGAACCGGCTCCATTCGAGAAATGTACTACGTACACAAAATAGTATAGAGGAATTGAAAACTTCTTCCTCATTAAAATTTTTTTAGCACTTGAAAAATATAGTAAAATGCTTTTTTCGCCTACTCTCCAAAGTTTCTTTCTCGTAATTTTCACGATTAAACAAGTAATAGACTTGAGATTCAAAAATCTCGAAGCAAATAGGGTTTGACAGTAATAAAAGACATGTAATAAAATTTGTTTATGTATTTATCTACAGAATTAAATATACATGTATAAATTTAATTACATGTTATTCATGATACTTATGTACCAATATACTTTTTCCCACGCTTTATCTAGTAAAGCAGAATGACCTGGAAGTAGAGTTGTTAAGAACTAAATTAAGGGAAAAAGAATTGCCATATACCTACGAGACTCCTAGGTACACTTTGTACGTCTGTTGTGTCTCTAATTTTTGCTTTCAAGCAACTTGATTTTTAAGCTATGTTTCTGGTTGAAGGGTAGGAGATATGTCAGCTAAATTATAGGGTATGGCGATATGACATATTATTACTCTGTAATGGCAACGATGTACGGAGTAGTACAGCTACCACAACCGTCATGTCGTTCATATATGTAGCCAAAGTTTGATATTTCTATTAAGTTACCCTTCAGCTTGTTTATCATTCCAGATTTATTACTTTTTCCTTGTCTTTGATGTTTTCTTTATATGATTTCAGTTCTACAAATCTATATTACGATATTGGTTAGAAGCGAAATGTTGAAATTACGAGATAATGCCAACTTCAGCTTCGTGAATCACGCTGCAGAAGCACAATGTACTATGAACCAGGATAAAGTGATGGTTTAAAAACTTTTTCATAGTCCATTGATGGCAAACTGAAAAAAAAACACTATTATAGATGTTTGCTGTATGGTCTTCGTAGATTGTGCCTTCCCCCAGTATTTGGCGTTGACTATTTTTTACCATCTATAACTTAAAGATGCCAGAAAATGCTTTTCTTCGTTTTATTCAATATCATAGCAAAGATCATATCATAAAAAAAAAATGCAAGAGAAGGTAAAACCAAAACATAGGTATATTGTATCATATATATTTAATGGACTTACATGAATAATAATAACACTGGACATACAGCGCCATCTAGTCCAAATTTAAGCAGAATTTTTGTTATGGGTACTAGACAATTGATATAAAATCTTAAATAATTTTTTTCAATGCATATGGTGTTTTCTATAGAAAACTCACACCAATAGACACATTCGTACTCAAGAATACAAATGTATATACTATGCGAGGAATTGAACTCGAGACCATCAGAAGTAAGGCGGCCGCGGCCTGTTAAACCGTAAGTCCACCGAGGCCGGCAATATACATTTGATTTTGGAATTACTACTCAATAATATTTTTGTTTTTATTTACTGTTTCAATATCCAAGGTTTCGTATGTCCATAGTGTGATATTATTTATAATTTTGTTATTGTGAGCTAACGACTGATAGTAATATCACATTTGCGCATGTATAAATTAATTAGTTTGTAAAATGCATCTTGTACGCATGATAATGTTTATTATTATTATTGTTAAATTAAGATAATATACAATTAATATCCATAATATAATAATAATACTATAGATAAGAACATATCTAATGTATTTTATTGTAAGTGCAACTATTAAATTACATAATGTTATCATACTCGTAACTACTTACTATTTTTATCTGTTAATTTAGTCACCTCAATACAAATTCTAATGTTATAAATGTTAAAGTTTGTCTGCTTATTTCTTACCTTTTCATAGCTGAATTACGATAAGAAATTTGTAGGGAATCTCATAAACAGATGAATTCTGGAGTAACTACTAGTGATGATATTTTCTTTTTATTATTTCTAAATTTGACCGCATTTGACCGCTATCTCTCTTATCTCGAGTTAAGAGATGTGGTCTAAGCGCAAATAAGTAAACGCAAACTCAAATAGTGCCTATTTACTCTTGATTTCAAAGACCCAATGTTGTAAGAAGCAGGAAACACAGACACTGGGAGAAAGTTTCACTCCTTAGCTGCTCGCATAAGGAAAGATGACGTCAATCGATTGGTAGGAGCAGCAGGGATGTCAACAGTGTATGGGTAGAGCCGCTCTCTAAGTCTAGTTGTACGGTGGTGAAACGGTGCTGGAGGAATAAGGTTGTGGAGTTCCTGAGCACAGAAGAACAGAAGTAGAGTTTAAGCCAACAAAACAGAATATTCTTTCGTAATATTACATTTATAAAATTATTGACATTTATTATAAACTCAATAAATACAGTTTCAGATCATTACTGAATTTGTATAACCATTAAATTTTGGCTCAATAAATATAGTAATAGATTAAAAATAATTTAATAATATTTATTACATCGTAATAATTAAGTTATTTAGTGTTTTAAAAATAAAAGTAATCAATGCAATACATCGTAATTAAACCATTTATGTAAACGTATTTAGATAAATTTATATAAAACAAAACAGTCTCTTCTTTTCTTCCTTTCCTTCAATACAATTTCATTTTAATTATTTCGTTCCGTAACAATTGAAAATATATTTTATTCTTTAAAAATTGTAAATATGAAACTTAAATTATAATTAATAACTCTACATTCAAATTTTAGGGGCTACGCACGAGTCTTACTTACCACTAATACGTCTATCACTGGATCGAAATGTGAAATATCTATATGTAAAAATTAAAGATGTAATACTACTTAAATAGACAATGTGATAATAATTTCTCTACGATAATAATATGGTATCCCAGCTTCCGCGTGCGCGAAACCCACCTTTAGATACTGTTTATCATCATACCAAACCAAAAATAACGATACGATTACGAACAAGTAACAAAACAACTGTACCGTTGGATCTCGAATAAAGATTAAGGGACTGCTACTCCACTAAACGCATCAGTGTATTGTGCTTCGTGAAATAAAATCACAATACTAGCAGGACAGCAGTGAGGCAGGAAATACTCTATTTAAAAGATGTCTTCAAAGGATGCAATTTTTGTAACTAATCTTGCCAGTTGGCCGCCTGATTTACATTGTGCTGCTGGTGGTGGAGATAAATAATATATTGAATAAGATGTTAAAACTATGTAAATCTAAATGTCCAACTATACCGATAGTTAGGAAGTGTTGTTTTTGTGTACCAGTACGGAAAGGCGTCACAATATTCGCATACGTTAATTTGGTAAGCACACTTATATATAATTTGGTAAGAACTAGGTGAATATATTACATTACAGGACAAATATAATACTAGATGACATAATGGGTGATAATGAACTGTCGTCCAAATACATTTAGTTAGTAGGTATAATACCAAAATCGATGATAGAATATCATACTATTAGAATGAAGTCGAATGACCAAATGAATGTTTCTTTTTGATATTAAATATTAAGAGAGAATTGCGGAAATACAAAGAAATAGACAAGTCTTCATGAATGTAATCTGTTTTAAGCTTATGTAAATACAGAAACTGTAGTTGTAAATCTAGTTTTGTAAACTATCGTATTCCTATAGAAGTAGTTTCCTTTTCTAAACTGACCAAATTAATTGCAGGTATTATCACTTCTATCGTTTCCCCTCCTAATATTCCTGCTGGTTGAACAAGTGACCACTGGCAAGCCAATTGAGCACACAGGCTCCATGGATCCGCTAGTACACTTACCTTTAACCATAGCTTTTGTGGTCATCGATGTCACTATGACCATAGTATTACTGTTTGGAGCTCATAAGGTGATTATTTTTATAATTATTGCAATCCCTAGTTCTTCTTCTTTTATTATTCTCGAACTTGACTTAACCCTAAAGAATATTTGCAAGGATTTGTGCATGTTAATTTCTTTATAATTTAGTATGGCAAAGTTTTAGTCAAATTTGCGTTGAGGCAAGGACTATACATTTAGAGCGGTAAAGAACTGATAACGTCATGGATTTCAAAATTTCTACAAGCTGAAGTAGTAATCGTGCGGCTACATTTTACAGTTACAGCTACTTACAGTTTTCCGTAATAGAATTAACTACGGAAATAGTTCTGGTATTGACTTAGTAAATTAATCAGAACTCAGGTGACAATGGCCCACAAACTGTGTTGATTTTGTTGTACCTGGCTTATTAAAGCAGTCTTTATAATTCTAAATTTGTAATTAAATTTCAAGCAAAATAGACCTTTTCATGTAGATACCATTTAGATTTTACTTAATTTCTTGACAATCTCGCAAATAAGATTCATCCATTCTCCGAGTATTTTTCTTACATTGTTATTTACCTATATAAATAAAAAAAAAACAACAGATTTCATATAACTACAGAACGTCAAATAATGTAGGTGGTTTAGAACCGTACTTTGTGCCGTAATGTGTACGAGACATGTTCAATAGTAAATAATGGACAAATTGACATCATTACCAGATATAGTATCAGTATTCTCATAGGAGTAAATAGTAACATTTTATCTAGTAGTACTGGAGGTATTTGCGTCATAAAACTACTAAAATACAGTATACACAAAATATCGTCTCCCAGTTGTTTCATACTCTGTTTGGTAGTATTTAGGTTCAAATTATCGTATATTTGATAGATCAAAACCTAGAGGTTGATCTAGGTTATGATCTATGTGTGTGTCAAATTTGATTCAAGTCTTATGAGAAACAGTAACAAATATTTATCTTCTCATGCTTTGTCTTTATACTATTACTAGATGACCCGCGCAACTTCGATTGCATCACACTTACTTGACATTTATTATAATATCTTTTTACATTATAGCTTATGTGATATTCTGATCTATAAGTTATATTACTGTAAAGTTTCATCAAAATCTGTTTTGCGTGAAAGAGTACAAATAATCTATTCATCCATCCATCCCTACTAACAAACTTTTGCGTTTATGATATTAGTAAGATGGGTGTAATGTCCCTAAACGTCAATATTCTTTAATTGTTAATAAAACTATCTTAAATCTATAATTTCTACATATGTACATTTTAATATGCATAATTTATCCAGAATTTCCAAATTATCCATAAATTATTCCAGAAGAAACAAGTGTTATTGAAGGTTTACTTGTACTTCGGCGTGGCGTTTCAACTTATGACCCTCTGTATGGATCTAGTATACTTCGATTACCGACAGTACATCGAAAATACAATCTACTTCTTCTTTTTAGGTAATTGAAATAGAAACATTATTATAAAACATTATTATCATAATAAAACTTATTTATAATATATTAAGGATACATTTTCAATGGTATATGACATACCTGCATGTACAGTAAATACAGTAATGTGATGATGACAGAATAAATCTAATTACGTATGAAAATAAGATGTCAAACAATCTGACATTACACCAGGCGGAATGGGGCGTACAAGGAACATTTTTGGTGTACTTAGAATGGCAAGTCATGGGACATATGCGTTGATAAGTAGTGGCAACCTGTCGCCTATATACATGATCAGCACCATGAATTCTGTCGTTATATGATACCTGTGGAAACTCTTATGCAGTTCTCTCTATTTATACAGATTTTTTTATTCCACAAGCAGATTTTTTTAGAAAACGCCTGCCAGTTTGTTTCTGTCAAATACGCTTAATGTATACATTATGACAACATTTTATAAAAACTTTGTTTTGTTGGACTAATAACAGTATAAAAATTACATAATTACTTAATTCTCCCCTGCCCCACTTGATAATAATAATAATATCCTTTAACAATTCACTCAGCATCATCTAGTCCCAAATTAAGCAGAGCTATGGGTACTAGACAAAGATACTATTTTTTGTAAATATATACATAGAAACAACCAGATCGAAACAAACAATCATAATCATGAATATAAAGTTTTGTACTGTGCGAAGAATCGAACTCGCGACTTTGGAAGTAAAGCGGTCTGCTAAACGACTAGACCACCGAGGCCGTTAAGATTTTTTATTTAAATTATTTCACTAAAACTTTATACTGTATTAGTAAAATAGTAAAATAGTACCTATTTCTTGTAATATATTATTTTTATTACAGGACTTAACGTATACTTATTATACCTAGTATACAGTACAGTTAAAATCGTTGAAGAGAGTTCTGAAGTTCAGTACGTGGCATATCAAAACAACAACATTGGAGCGTGAATGATTGCGGCAACAGTTGCATCGATTTGGGCACAGCACTTAATATCAGTACATGAGCACATAGAAATACTCTAATCTTCTATAAAAATAAATACCTAATTTTATAATGAAATTGTAGTTATAATAATAATTAATTTAGATATGAAATGTTATAATTAATGTATTCGCATACAATATAATGTATAAAGTCTATGTTCTAGAAGGCTAATGGCTAATGGCTGTTCATATTTATATAAGCGATAGTTACTAGTACCACCATATAGACCATTAGATGACTTTGAAATTAAAAATAGATAATAATCTCTGTGTAGATCACAGATTAGTAAATTGTACATATTAACTTTATTCTCACTATTCAGCTTATGTACATGAAAAGAATCAAATAGTTATATTTATCTAATAGTTCCTCTATAACGTAACTTCACGGTTCAACATGGTTCAACTAATAACATACTTTGTTTTGTTATTTAAGTCTCAAGTTACTGTTCATTTAATATTTTACTGTTGTGAAATGGTGCTATTTGGCAGTTTGTAATCATACTAATTCTTAAAAATATAATGTTAAAAATATATGCATTAAGCGATATAAAAAAATATATTGTGATAAAAATCTATTTCTATTTATAATTAATAACTGAATTAAATTTGGAAAAAAATTGGTGATATTCAAACTTCAATTAAAGCAAATAATATTACCTAAATTTGTGTGATATTGGAAACGTGCGTTTTAGAGTTACAACAAGGCGAGACGACCAATCTTCCCACGGCGGCAGTGTTGCTATAATCCATGTTTACCTCCATCATTAGCAATCTACCTCTCATTTAGGATGTTATAGAGTACATATGATACGCGTAGTATGACTATAGATAATATTACTGTGACAGTAACAAATAAAATTAAGAAAGTATTAATATAAATTAAAATCCAAAACATTTCTAGATATTTTTTTTTGTTTACAGACACACACAAGGCACTGTAGTATAAACAATAAAAATAAAAAGTAAATACATAATTACATTGGTTAGTCAACAAAATACAATATAGGTACAATAGGTACAAAGATTGGGTCGTATTTTACTAGTTTACTCCGTCTTACACTCAAAAGGTCGTAAGTGAAAATCAATATGTTAATTTATATTTCTGACTGAAATATAAATTAACACACATGTCCGGTGAAGGAAACACCGATATGAAACAAAACATTAATCCGAGAAACCTATTAGCTGGCTCCATGTCACAGTGGGTTCAAATATTTCTAGCGAAATGTGGGCGTGTGAAGTTGTGTTCACAACGACATCTACATTCGTATGTACATGGACTTAACAAGGACATTATATCCTCGCATTAACTTTCGGAGAACACAAAGATGTGGTGTATATGCAAATTTTCCTTAGATATTTCCAATTTTACAACCGACTTATCACCTTTGAATGGACTATACAATAAAATTGTTCGTCCAATCTCAAAACATTCTTTTGTTTTCGAATTCTAAAAAAGTTGAAATGTATTTGTTGTTGTTTTTGTCTCTAGTTTTTTTTAATAATCGCGGGAGGTTGGCAAACGACACGACTTAAAAGGCAGCCTAGGTAATATTGCTACATCTCACCTTACAACCATTACACAGCCTACAAAGCATGCAGTTTGCCGACCGACGCAGATGGCTTTATTTGTAGCTTTATTGGTAGTTAGGATAATTTTGATTTAGGATTCTCAAAACGTAATTAAGTCTTCATGGTTGTAAAATTTCGGAAACCTTAATTTAAGTAGCATTATATTTATGGCTAAGGTATGTCTGTATCGTAGAAGTCAAGCAAGTTTAACAGTCAAAGTAATATTGGTGATCAGATATGACGAAAAATTGCGTTTAGATCTATAATAGTCAAAATGGTTTTATATGACAAAAAATAAACAGTAACTAAAAATATATATAAATATGTTAGTGCGCGAGTGTGTGTAAGTATGTGTTTGCATGTGTATGTAGATGTGAGTGTTATAAAATATTATAGACAAATTCATAAGTAATCTGACTCTACATATATTTTTCTGTACATCAGCATTTTATACTACACAGACATTTAAATGCACTGTTACAATACAAATCATACGATACGAATTGAATTGCCTCTCTTTGACGTCGCATATAATTAAAGCGTGTCATTTCATATTATTAATAGCAAACTACTGCATCGATAGAGTTTATTAAATCGTGGTAGTAACAGCTTGAGTTTACAAAACCTGTATCAATTCTTACTTTGGATCATATCACGGGCCGAAAGACTTTTCTTCTCTCCTTATATATAATAATACCCCTGGACACATCAGATATTACCAACTAGTCCCAAGGAGCAAAGCAAGCAAGCAGAACTTGTGTTATAGGTATTGGACAACTGATATAAATACTTAGATATTTTGTTTATAAATACATACCGCTAAAAAGAATCCATTTATCGTATCTCCTCAGTTTCAAGACACTCTCCTTGATGTGAAGCCAAATCTCGAGGTCCTTGGCGTTGATATATCCAGTGACGTTCAGTGTTGCGGTCATTTGGAGGACAAGGCTAAAATAGCCTCAAAAAAGCTTGATGTGCTCAGTAGAGTGAGATGGTATTTCACGGCGGCCCATCGCTTGCAATTATACAAGGCGCAGATCCGGCCGCACATGGAATACTGTTCTCATCTCTGGGCGGGAGCACCACAATACCAGCTACTTCCATTTGACCGCATTCAGAACCGAGTAGCCAGAATCATTGGTAATCAACGTCTATGTGACAGACTCGACCCATTGGCTCTGCAGCGAGATATTACATCTCTGTGCATTTTCTACCGCATATATCATGGGGAGTGTTCTGAGGAATTGTTCGGATTAATACTAGCTGCTGAGTTTCACCATCGTACCACCCGCCAGAAACTGAAATACCATCCTGATCATCTGGATGAATGGCGGTCTTCCACAGTACGGTTTTCTAGAAACTTTTTGAATCGCACAACCACATTGTGGAATCACCTTCCAGCAATGGTATTTCTGAACCGATACGATATTGAAACCTTCAAGAAAAGAGCTTATTCCTTTTTAAAAGGCCCACAATGTACTTGCAATTCCCCTGGTGTTGCGGGTGCTCATGGGCGGCGGTAATCACTTACCATCAGGTGAGCCACATGCTCGTTTGTCCCCTGTGTTATAAAAAAAGAATACATACTATACATAGAAAACATCCAGACGGATACGTTTCTATCGGTCTCGGTGCTGTGCAGTCATGAGGCGTGCGAGCAATCGATCTCGCACCCATCGGAAGTAAAGCGGTGTGCTAAACCGCTAGATTACCGGAGCCCTCAAATTTATATTTATCTACAATTATTAATTGTAACTTACTGTAAATAGTGTGATGCATAAACTAACAGTATGAATTTGCGGGCACCAGTGGAAGATGACAATATGAGCACGAAGTCAGGTCAGTTATTGCATTGTGGAAAAATAGAGAGAAACGGTTAAATGATTCTGTATGTCTCATAAAAATACTTCACTATTACATTAGCCAGTAACATTAGCTATATTCTACGCAGTTAAAGTTAACTACTCTAATATAATTAAGTACTAAAAATGCAGTTGTATTTAGATAAATTGTAATATAACGCTGTGTAGTAAATGTAATAACACCATCCCTTATTTTTGATGTTTGTGGATATGTATAACTAACGTAGACTTAAATTCATTGGTATCATTAATGTAATATATTTTTAATCAGACTACTCAGACTACTCTATGTACTTTTAATATACAATATATAAATACATTCTACTACTTAAATCGATTGATAAATTGTCTTACATTATAATATCATACGACATCGTATAACAAAATATTTTTTATCTTAACTACATGTTATACATGTACAAATCTGTTATCTACTAATTGAGACATATTAATTAGTGTATTAACTCTGATAATGAGATGCAATCGTATATGTTATCTTTTGTCTTGAAATGTTTACTTGACTGTGTAAATAGGTATTAACAGCTCCGTAGAACTGCTGTTGAAAGTAAAATGGAATCAGGCGGCTCAGTAAACACAGCGCCACGGTACGAGCTGGTAGTGCGTTCGATTCCGTAAATATGTCGGCCACAGTTGAAACGAGTTTAAAGTAAGTGATGTGCAAGCGAAAGTTACGTAGGAAACGGCGCGTTCTGTTTTTCTCCAATATTTGTTAATGAAGTCGCTAGATGTTTTTAGTGATTCTATGTTTTTCGCGGTATCGGTGAAACTAAATTTGATTTTAATTACTTTTGTGTGCTCTACTGGATGTAACTATAGTATAATTAGACCATGACGACAACCAATTAACTTGATTAAAACGTAACGCCGCGTCAGGAATGACGAATATTTTATCGCGTTTAATATATAATAACCCCAATAGAAGTTCTTCATAACTTACGTAAACAAAATAGCACATTTGTTACCTATTTTTTATTATGTGCCCGGAACAGCTAATAAGCTGTGGGCTCACCTGATGGTAAGTGATAAACCTCGCCTGTATATCAGGTGAAACTGGTAGTACCCCTCTAAGCCTTGCAATTCCGAAGAATAGGATTTATACCCTCGTACTCTGCAATTCTACTCCCTTCAACCCAAAGATATCTGAGTAATATAAACCATTGTATGGTGTTTAGTAGCTGAAATAATTCATAGAGGTAACACAGACGACTTTTTACAAAGTCAGTTTCGGTATATTATATTAATATTAGATTTATCACCAACATTAATTAATTCTTCAAAAAACAATATTATTCAATAGAAAGTAATAACTTTGTGTTTACTTTTGTAATTAATATATTTTTGAAACGACGACGACAAAATGCCGGGGTTTTCGATTCGACTCGATTTTATTAAACGATTTAACTGTTTCACGTTTCCATTCTCTCAACAACTTTATCTTTTTTTAACGTCTTTTCATATTTTATCTGCTGTAATGTTCTTTAATTTAAAGGAGAAAAAAATTGAAATTATGGATGTATTGAGATTCAAGAATAAGTTAATAAATTATTGATTCGTATCGCAATTTCACTTCTGTATATAATAACTACCATAGATTTTTTCTGATATACAGAAACACATTTGAGGACAGGAGGTATATTAGTTTTATTTGTGTTTCAATTAGTAAGCTGGCAGATTTCCGTATAACTAAAGACTAGTGTACTAACGATATTTTTATTCATAAGGTATATAGATAGATTTTTTGTAAAAACTATTATATTTTAGTATCACAAATATATATTTTTGGTGATTCTATTATAGTTCTATTCCTCTAACCAATGAAGTCATGTTTATTACACAATAAGAGTAACGAATGGCCAGATTTTAGATAATACGTGACATTTTAAAAAAAATGCAAGTTAGTGCATTTAATTTCAGTGCAAATTTTAATCAAGGTACTGCTTTCCATTATAACACTTTGTTTTATTGCTATAATATAGTCAATTATATTGTATTAAATATAACAATAAAAATTTTTTATAGACTTTTCTTTGTGTAGTAATTTTTTTTGTACAGATTTACCAAAAATTTTTTTTAATTTTTTTTCTACTACATAATATGCTTTTTTTGAAGTAGGTATTAGATAACAATTGTATTTTTTAAATATAAAAGAATATTACAATTATTAAAAAATACTTTATAAAAAATAATCAATAATTGTCTTTCTAATAACCAGAGTTATCTTGTAGATGTATATATCGTATTATTTACTTGAATTCGGTATTACGAAAATAAAATTAAGAGATTCGATGCCGAGACAAAGTCTTATGATCGAATGAGACTGATGTTTTGACCGCTCTTATAAATTTCTCACCTGTTTTTCTAAACATAACTTTCTTAAAGTTGTTGTCCATGACTTTGTCTACATCAAACAAGTTTCTCAAAGTGTCACGTGCATATCCATAATAAAGATTCATCTGTAGTGTGTGCGACTCACACGAATAAAAATACATAATTAAGATTGATACTGATTAAAATGTTGAAAAAATTTCTGCCAAAATAATAATAATATAATTATAATAATCTCAGGACAAGTCCCAAGTAAGATAACTGATACAAATGCATAGTTTTTTTTCTAAATACATAATATGTATTATACATAGAAAACATCCAGACCGACACAAACAATCATACTCATGAATACAAATGTTTGTGCCGTACAAGAAATCGAACCCGCGACCATCGGAAGTAAGGCAGTGTATGAAACTATTAGACCCCCGAGGCCGTCAATATGACTAAAAGAGAATCTTAAAAACATTTTACTCTTTCTTTTTATTTCACCGTAGTTCGTCCAGTCGTCTTTACATGAAATCGTAACACACAAGCAAATAAATATGATAAATTTTTGACTCGTCACCATTTTATGATATATAAAGATGACGTGATGAATCAATAAAAAACCTATTTTTTACCACATTAAAGATTGTCTCATATTTTGCTGCAATTAGATATCTATTTTATTGTTACCACAGCAATTATTTATTTCATAAAATTTATTATCAATTCTGTGTCGGCGTTTCTGAATCACAAACTGTTTGTTTGAATACTTTATTGTACAGTAAATACATTTAAAGTAACAGGATACAACGAACTTAAGAAATAAGTTATACAATGGCGCACTTAGTCCAAATGCGGGATGTCTTCCAGTCAACCTTCGATTGGCTGAATAGAATTGTGTAGTGTTGGAAATAGATATCATGCATGCATAAATGACAATATCTATAAAAAAGTAAACACATTATATACGTATGTATTTATATATAGTCAGGGTTACTTGTATAGTAAATTAAAAAAGTCAATGCACTAATTCATAATATTCATCCACCCATCCAATAATATTATAATGTACGACCTTGTCAATACGTCTAGAGGCCAAGGTTAACCATTGTTTTTTTAGAAATACAATCTACATGTCTATTCTACATGTTATGTATACCTGTTAATTTTATATAATTTATACGTAAATTGTTTTTATATACATTCTACCTACCCAAACATAGTATTATATATTCTATACACTAATCACGAAAGCAAGTGGCTTTACAGAAACTTATGGTACAGATAAGAAAACATTACATACTCAGTAGATATCTGTAGTTAAAATAGAAGCAAATTTATACAATAATTATTATTATCATGCTACATAAACATAAATTTAAAAAAATATCATCAGGCTTACGCCTTTAGAATTTAGATGTATAAGTGTTTGTACTTTCCATTAGGTGGACGGTCTGTTCGTTAAACATTTTAAATATTAACGTTAAAATATTATCAGATTTAATACTGAATAGATTTTGTAAAATACCAGAATATTAAAAATGTTTATGTCCTAAATTGACGTAACTGTAGTAACTTTTCCCTAAGTAAACTATATTTAATGTACACTTTGGGTTGACTGTGTAAAAAGTTATCTACGTCCCCACCCCGGTCTGTCTATTTCAGGTGCTAAGCAGCTTGCTTTGCAAACTATGTTTTGGTTAAAGGATGAGAATAAGGTTATCACTTACCATTAGATAAACCGTTAGTTGGTTTGCTATTCCAAGAACAACATATTATGACTGATTACTGATTCATGTAACGCTGTAACATTGTATTGCTGACGTTGCAGCTATTTTTGGCGACTGTACAATACTGAGAATACTGTGCAATGCACATGCGCGACCTGCTATTAAGGTTGAACTGTGACTCTTACGACATACCAGTCATACAGTATATATAACCTTTAGAACCTTTTGTTTATGTAATCTCGATTCTTTGCAAAGTTATACGCCTTTGTTACTATTATCTGTTCTATTATAAATGATAGACTACCTAAAATAGTGCATCCAACTTAATAGATATGGTAGCTATATCGTCAGGGACGGTCAACTTTTCTTTTAACCTTTAAGTCCTGGCATCGCAAAGGTGAATTATCGACATATTTATAGTCTGAACTGATTATCTTTTGCAAATCAACAAAGTTCTCTCCTTATCGAATCTATTGTTTTACTTTTAAATAGGCACCATACTTTCAACATTTTTTGTGTAACTAAGTTTTATATTATGACACTCAATTGACCTAAATAGAAGATAAATAGACTATTGAAAATAGGTGTGAACAAGTGAATCCGTCACGGGCATGCCACACTATTGTGTTATCAAGTTTTCAACCTACTTTAAAAAAGAGGAAGTTCTCAATTCGGTTGGATTATATTATAGCAAAAACGCGATGTCTTTCCTAAATACTAAGAAACCAATTTTGATTATAATTTTGGACAACTATTAATTAGGTGCCGTGAGATCAAAAAACTAAATTGCTGTTGGCAATAGCCGGTGTTTAACAAAATAAAGTGTCATTAAGTCATTACATAATATTTTTAATAAGTCTCGTTAGAACGACAAATGTTTTTTTTTTATTTCTACGTCAGATCATTAAATACAAAACTAACTTTATAGCTACTTTTAAAAAATGTACAACGCCATTTAGTGCTTAGAAATTAAAATTACTATATCTTAAGCAATTTTTAACTACTGTTCATACCGTATTAATTCTTACGAATCAGATAAAATTATTTATTTTAAGATACTTTAACTAGTACAATTATCAATATATATATTGTTTTTAGGAAGGATTATTACTTTCTATTATACAAACAATCCTTGGTATAGATACGTACTTAGCAGTCTGTATGTCATCTGCCACTTTCTCATGACCCCCATTTTATGACCTACACATTAAGTGTGTCAGCATATAAAACTATGGAAAAAAACGAAAAATATTTTTTTACTTTTATTTTTGTGCTGTGACACAAACTTTATAAATATTACTAAATAATTATTGTAGTATAAATTATGAAGACACTACAGCACTATAACTGGCAAAATTTTCCATAAAGCAAGTTGGGATACTTTGTTCTCCTAAACTGTAGTTAACAACAATTCCACTAATTTAAGTCTTATTATTAAGCAATAGAATTCACAGACGAATGACATCAGTCATGACCTAAATAATTTAATCATTTTGTAGGGTAAACCATAATGACCATGTAAATATATGCTACTTATGATAACTATGAGTATAGGTATACTGTAACTATAATACTGAGTACAACTCGGCATATATAATCGAAA